GAATTTTCGAAGCGGTTGCAGTTCCAAAGTTTCTAATGCTCACATCCTGGCAATTTTGTAGCTATTTGCGTAAGCGAATTATGTCAACCTCAGAAAATTCCAAATCTTAACGCATTACAATAGCAAATTGGCACCGGGACGATCGTTTTTAATATTTTAAATAATTTTTTACCATTTTCCAACATTTTTACGCATTTTTTTTTGCAGTGGATTGACACAGTAATCTTCCGAAAAGTCAAGATCCAAAAAAATTCAAGTTGAAAAAAAGCAAATGTGGAATTTTCCATATTTTTGCATTGCAGTGCCTGTAACATTTTCAAAGTTTTTAAAGGGTCAAAAAAGGCAGGACATTTTAGGGATTACCAGGCCTGCAAAAGCGGGGCGGCTTGGTATTAGGCTTGGTTTAGGCTTAGGCTTAATTTAGGTTTAGGCTTAGGCTTGGCATAGGATTAGCTTAGGCTTGGGCTTAGGAATAGCTTAGGATTAGGCTTGGCGTAGGCTTAGGCTTCGCTTAGCTTGTGCTCAGCTTAGGCTTAGGACTAGTCTTAGCTTAGGCTTACTGAGAAGTGATCTACGCGGGTTCACCTTACCATACATCTTATCTGGAAAAAAACATCGAGCCGAGGCTGATCCACGTTCCATTATTAAGCTATGTACCATTATGACTCACAATTTCTGATACATTCGAGCCATGGGCTTTCTCGATGGCACACACAGGTGGTCTAGGGTGAGGCCGAGGAGCCGAGGAGAACTTGTTTTGCGCCCCCTTCAATCCAGCCAACAGCACCATTTCTTTTCTTCTTCTGCTCCTGCTTTTCTCTCTCTCTCTCTCTCTCTCTCTCTCTCTCTCTCTCTCTCGCTCTCTCTCTCCCTCTCGCTCTCTCTCTCGCTCTCCCTCTCTCTCTCGCTCGCTCGCTCTCTCCCCTCCATTCGTCGATAGGAGCTTTCGCAACCCCCGCAGCGTTTCCCCCAAGTGATACAAAAGCCAGTATTTTTCGCCCCTCAAACCATTCCAGCCAGCTGCTGCATTTCAACAACGGTCTATACCTCTACGTGGCTTTAGTGTGGTTTCGCCCATGCTTCAACTTGGAGGTTACGTCCTGTAAATATACACCCTTAAGCGCGTCACATTGGCTTGGGGTTCATTTTGCTCTGGTTTTGCTGTATAAAAAATATATGCGTAGCATGAACGCCGTTTAGAAACTATGTACTATGTATCTTGGGGAATTTCGTACGCAGGATTTGCTTAAAATATTAAGCCGATCTGGATTTTAACTTCCAGCCGATCTTACGGCTGGCTTGTTTTTGGTTTGAAAAGCACTTAAGAAAATACATTTCACCTAATCCAACAATTACTGGGGAAGGCAAAGCGCACCGCAAGCCAAGTCGGATGGCTGTCGAGTCGATTCTTGTTTTGTTACACCAATTTCGTATTTTTTCTCCTCCATCAATTTTATGCCTGTCTGTTTTTCTTTCTTTCTCTCTCGTTCTCGCGCTCTCTCTCTCTCTCACTTCATACCCTCCAATTTCAGAATCATGGAAAACGCCAAAGCCGAAGAAGCCGCCGCCCAGATGCCACCCACCTATGAAGCAGCCACGGGTGTTTATCCCACACTCGGTAGGTCACAAAATCAGTAAATTTATTTCTCTCTCTCTCTCTCTCTCGCTATCTATCTATCTCTCTCTCTATCTCTCTCTCTCTCCGCAAACATTATTGTCCTTTTTTCAGCCGCCGAAGAAAAGCCGGTGCTCACCGAGAAGACCCACGAAAACGTGGTGCCTCTCGCGAAAAGCGAGAAAAAAGCGGAGAAACCCGTAGAGCGGAAGTGTTGCCTGTCGAGACGCGAAGTCGTCGGCTTCAAGTTGTTGAACCGGAAGGAGAAGCTCCAGGAGAAGCTCGACAAGATCAGAGGGCTCGGCAAGGAGGTGAGAAACTTTCTGAATTTTCGGTTTTAAAGGGACCGGCAAAGCAAGGTCATGGATTTTTAGCCTGCCGAAAAATGCCGAACGCCACGCAGGATATTTTTTTTACCTATAGATTTTTCCAGAACCCCCTCCGAAGCCCCGCTAAAAATCCAGCTCCTCTCCGGCGGTAAGGTTGTCCGCGAGTGGGGAGGAGAAGAAGCCCCAGAAGAAGTGAGGGAAGCGCTTGCACGCTCCATCTTCCATCTGGATCGCGCTGAGCAGAAGGCGTACCGCAAGAAGGAGAAAGCGGAAAAGAAACACGCTCAAAAACTCGAGAAGGTCTCGAAGAAGCTCGAGAAGGTGGCGCTCGTTGAAGGTGAGACCTCACTTAAATTTTTAGCATTTTTAGCTGATTAAAGGGGTTATGAAGTCATCGATTTATGTTTTGGGTTCTATCAGGGGGGAACCAATTTTTTATTATTTAGAAACTAAAATTTTTGCGAACTTTGATTAAACAGAGAAAATATGAATTTTTTGACGGAAAACTTGCCCATTTTTGACCAAAATCTCGGCTTTTCAAAAAGTTTTTGCTGGTTTTTCCAATTTAACTATTTTTGCCTTTGAAAAAGTACTAGGGGTGTCAAAGTAAGTCTTCGCATAGTGTTTTTAGTAGAAATTTACTCTATATTTTCAATGGCTAAAGAATTAAAAAATGTTGTAAAGTACCAATGGTTGTAAAGTTTTTACGTTGAGTTAGAAAGGTAAAAAATAGTTTAAAAAAGCTTTTTATTTATAGTAGAAAAAACAGGCCCTTAGAAAAAGTTGGTCCTCCGATAATGCGAAAGAAAAATCTCCGACTCTATTTTGCAATTTTGAATTAGGCCAAACTAGGGTTGGCATTTGAGGAAACCGGTTTCCGATCTCTTAGATTTGAATCAATGTTTCGATTGACCGGATTGTAATGAAATTGATTTTTCAATTGCAACTAGAGTGAGGGAGCGGCAGGCCTCCTCAGGCTTTCTTGGGCCGAATTGCATTTCCGCGCCTGCCGACGCCTGGCGGAAGCCTAAGGATTTACGCAGGCTTTTTATGCAATGCGCAAAAACATGTTAATCTGGTTACTGCATCTAAAACGTTCGTACCTTTGACGCAATAACAAATTACAAGGATGCCGAAGGTGGGGAAAAATATAGGCAAGGTGTCAGGAGAGGCAATTGCATCCCCCCGCCCGTTCGAACCGACTCTTGGCTTTTGTGTATCCGCGTGCTATTAACGTATCGTGCCGTAAGGTTTGTCGAAGACAGTAACCTAACTTTGTAGAATATTCTGAGACCCAATACAGCTCTTCGACCCCCCGGAAGTTTAAAAAAATTCCTGATTTGTTCGGGCAAATCTTCGAATATTCTCACGACTTTACATAAAATTCCCATATAAAGCCTCCGGACGCTAATTAGGAGGTCAGGCGGTACTCTGCTTATAGCCAGGCCTCAGCCTAGGCGATGCAAATTAGAAAAGCCTGAGTAAGCCTAGGCATGCCTAGGCTTTAGCCTAGGCCTCCCTCACTCTAATTGCAACCGATCGATCGATTCTGCATAAAAACCGATTTGAATAGGGATCCGATTTGATCGGTTCTCGAAACAACCGGTTTTTGATTCGAAACCGATCGATCCGGTTTCGGAAAAAATGGCGGATTTCAGGCCGAGAAACCGAGCGGAAATGAACCGATTTATGCAGAATTTTGGATGCAAATCACGATATTCCTCAATTTTTGTGCTGAAATTGGGGGTCAGCTCGTAGATTCCAGAGCCATCATGTCTGGAAGGAATATATCCATTTTTTGGAGGCTAAGAACGGCTTACTTTCAAAAAATCGTAGGACCACTGCCTGCCAAGCACCAAAAAAATGATTTGCATCCAAAATTCTGCATAAATCGGTTCATTTCCGCTCGGTTTCTCGCCTGAAATCCGATTTTTTTTCCGAAACCGATCCGATCGGTTTCGAATCAAAAACTCGGTTTTTCGAGGAACCAATCACATCGGATCCCTATTCAAATCGGTTTTTATGCAGAATCGATCGATCGGTTGCAATTGAAAAATCGATTTCAATACAATCCGGTCAATCCAAACATTGATTCAAATCCAAGAGATCGGAAACCGGTTTACTCAAATGCCAACCCTAGGCCAAACTGGAATTAAATGCATTTAATTTTGGATTACAAATTGTTTAAAAATTTTTAAAGTAAAATTCTTTT